GCCATATCCCAAAGGGGGGTGCGCGCGCCCCCGCGCCCCCGCCTGAATCCGCGCCAAAATTGGCAATTAAGAGTTGATTATCTGCAGCTGTGGGGCCTGCAGAGAACTCTATTTAAACCTTAGGTCTGGTTTGTAACCTCATTTGTTGCTGGAATCATGGGAGGTGTCTGGATCCTGGTGTTTTGTACTCTGATGTTTTTGCTCCATGGTTTGTAGTTTTTCTCATAAGTTTGCTTTAAGGTTGTTAGATTTGATTAGTGATGAGTTAATGAGGCATCTTGAAGCGTTTTGTACGGAAGAGGATTAGGGTCAGAATTCTGACTTTAATCTCAGAATTCTGACTTTTTTTCTCAGAATTCTGAGATTAAAGTCAGAATTCTGACTTTTTTCTCAGAATTCTGACTTTTTTCTCAGAATTCTGACTTTTTTCTCAGAATTCTGACTTTTTTCTCAGAATTCAGATTTCATCCTGGACACTACAGAAAATGGGCTAAAAGTGTTAAAAACCGAACTTCTCCTTTAACTGAATTGAATTGATAACCTAGTACAATATCAGCTTATTGTAGGCTATATTGTATTTCAAATCTATGTTTATATTGAAAGTATCTTTTATTTTTTTACTGCAGGAAAAAAATAATGTAAACATATAATCCATAAATTTAGGGGGAAATAAATAAGGATAGTTGACCTTTAACTACAGCGTAGACCAGGGGTGTCAAACTGGTTCCAGAAAGGGCCGTGTGGCTGCAGGTTTTCTTTCCAACCAAGCAATAGCACACCAGACTCCATTCATCTAATCAAGTGAGGCTAATCTTAACATGATGACTTGATGAATTGACGCTGCAGGCTCCCGCGACGTGTCGAGCGACGCTGCAGGCTCCCGCGACGTGTCGAGCGACGCTGCAGGCTCCCGCGACGTGTCGAGCGACGCTGCAGGCTCCCGCGATGTGTCGAGCGACGCTGCTGCTGTGAGAGCCAGCAGCGTCGCTTGACGCGTTGTGGGACCCGGCAGCGTCGCTTGACGCCTTGTGGGACCCGGCAGCGTCGCTTGACGCCTTGTGGGACCCGGCAGCGTCGCTTGACGCCTTGAATGAACTTTGAATTTCTGTTTCCTGAGTTGAATTATTCAGATTTAGCCAGATGCGTTGTCTTATCATAGAATTGGCAAATGTTGAGGGAACCCATTGGACATTGGGTCCAATAGAACTAAACTGAAATGTAAAAGTTGCAAGACACCAGACCTCAAGGACAGAGTTCCCCTACTCTGGATCACAGAGCACAGGTATTGTTCGACATGTGTGCTGAGCTTTCTCTAAAAGGGTTGAATTTATACAAATTGGACAAGTCTATACATAATCAAATTAAGCATTCACATACCAACCAAGCAATAGCACACGAGACTCCATTCATCTCATCAAGTGAGTCTAATCTTAACATGATGACTTGATGAGATGGAGTCTGGTGTGCTATTGCTTGGTTGGAAAGAACCTGCAGCCACACGGCCCTTTCTGGAACCAGCTTGACACCCCTGGCATAGACCCTACAAGAACATAAGTATTTGAAATCCCACAATATTAAGTTAAAGGGCTCTCCAGTAAATCTTTGATTTATCCACAGGGTCAAAACAAGTTAATAGTTTACTAGAACATTTGTTTTTAGTTTAGCAATACTAAGTATTGTAGCCAACTAATTATGACTGTTTATGGAACAGCCCTTGTGCTAATTACACCCTTGTTTACAGATGCTGGAGATCGGCCTGTTTTCCAGTGTGGTCCTGTTTCTCTGACCGTGACTGAGCGAGCCAGCTCCCATGCCAGAGGACGAAGAGAGGACATCCCGAGCTCGTCTGCCTGGCTGTGTTTCCTGGACGGGGCCGCCTTTTACAGCTGCTTTTTGTCTCTGTGCTTCTGTCTCATTGAACCCCAGTCGGCCTCGGCAGATGGCCGCTCACACTGAGCCTGGTTCTGCTGGAGGTTTCTTCCTGTTAAAAGGGAGTTTTTCCTCTCCACTGTCGCTACAAGCATGCTTGGTGTGAGGGATTGTATTTGAGTCAATGAATCAATGCAATCAACTGGTTTTTCTTAGATAGAAAACTTTGTATCAATTTAATAAACTTTATTGTATTTATGCTGCAGGCTCCCGCGATGGTCCGGGCTCCCGCGACGTGGCAAGCAACGCTGAAGGCTCCTGCGATGTCTCGAGTGACGCTGCTGGCTCCTGCGATGTGCCGAGTGACGCTGCTGGCTCCTGCGATGTGCCGAGTGACGCTGCTGGCTCCTGCGACGTGTCGACCGTCGCTGCTGGCTCCCGCGACGCGTCGTCCGACGCTGCCGGCTCCCACGTCGCGTCGTCCGACGCTGCCGGCTCCCACGTCGCGTCGTCCGACGCTGCCGGCTCCCACGTCGCCTCGTCCGACGCTGCCGGCTCCCACGACGCCTCGTCCGACGCTGCCGGCTCCCACGACGCCTCGACCGACGCTGCCGGCTCCCACGACGCCTCGACCGACGCTGCCGGCTTCCACGACGCCTCGACCGACGCTGCCGGCTCCCACGTCGCCTCGACCGAAGCTGCCGGCTCCCACGACGCGTCGACCGACGCTACCAGGTCCCACAACGAGTCAAGTGCCCCATGACGCTGCTGCTGTGAGAGCCAGCAGCGTCGCTTGACTCGTTGTGGGACCTGGTAGCGTCGGTTGACGCGTTGTGGGACCTGGCAGCGTCGGTCGACGCGTCGTGGGACCTGGCAGCGTCGGTCGACGCGTCGTGGGAGCCGGCAGCGTCGGTCGACGCGTCGTGGGAGCCGGCAGCGTCGGTCGACGCGTCGTGGGAGCCGGCAGCGTCGGTCGACGCGTCGTGGGAGCCGGCAGCGTCGGTCGACGCGTCGTGGGAGCCGGCAGCGTCGGTCGACGCCTCGTGGGAGCCGGCAGCGTCGGTCGACGCCTCGTGGGACCCGGCAACGTCGGTCGACGCCTCGTGGGACCCGGCAGCATCGGTCGACGCCTCGTGGGACCCTTCAGCTTCGCTCGACCTGCCGGCTCCCTCGACGTGTCAGGTGCTCTCACGACGCTGCTGCTGTGGGGCCAGCAGCGTCGCCTGACACCTCGTGGGAGCCAGCAGAGCCGTGGGGAGCCAGCAGTCGCTCGGCGCTGCCGTATGGCGCTGGCGGTCGCTCGGCGCTGCCGTATGGCGCTGGCGGTCGCTCGGGGCTGCCGTGGGGAGCCGGAGGCAGCTTGACACGTCAGGCACCGCTGCCGTGGGGAGCCACCATCAGGCGACGCTGCCGTGGGGAGCCAGAGTCAGGCGACGCTGCCGGCTCTCAAAACATACATCTTTTAAATAAAGAAATGAACTTTGAATTTCTGTTTCCTGAGTTGAATTATTCATCCATCCATCCATCCATTTTCTTTACACGCTTGTCTCGAGTGGTGCTGGTGCCTATCTCCAGCAGTCAATGGGCGAGAGGCGGGTTACACCCTGGAAAGGTCGCCAGTCTATCGCAGCAGTTATAGTTCAGTATGACCTAAATAATTGGCTAAGACGAGTCATAGTATAATAAGACCTGAATAAATTGGATAAAATGACTAACAGTATAGTATTACTTCAAAAAGAGTTAAAACCAGTCATAGAATGGTATGACCACAAAAAATAGGCCAAACCGAGTTATAGTTTAGTATGACCTAAATAATTGGCTAAAACTAGTTGAGTACAGCAAGACATCAGAAGTTGGCTAAAAGGTTAAAATAGTAATACTATAGTATGACCTGAAAAATAGGCTAAAATGAGTCTTGGTAAAGTATGACCTCAAAAATACCAAAAAAATGTCCTAAAAAGACAGACAGTATAGTATGGTCTCAATATTTTGCTAAAAAAGACATAGTATAGTATGATTTTAAAAAATAGCTAAAACGAGTTATAATATAGTATGACTTGAAACATAGGGCAAAACCAGTTATAGTTCAATATGACCTAAATAATTGGCTAAGACGAGTCATAGTATAGTAAGACCTGAATAAATTGGATAAAATGACTAACAGTATAGTATGACTTCAAAAAGAGTTAATACCAGTCATAGAATGGTATGACCACAAAAAATAGGCCAAACCGAGTTATAGTTTAGTATGACCTAAATAATTGGCATAACAAGTCATAGTACAGCAAGACATCAGAAGTTGGCTAAAACGAGTCATAGTATAGTGTGACCTCAAAAATGGGCTAAAGCAAGTCAAAGTATTGTATGACCTAAAAAAATATGCCTAACCAAGTAATAGTATAGTGTGACCTCAAAAATGGGCTAAAGCAAGTCAAAGTATTGTATGACCTAAAAAAATATGCCTAACCAAGTAATAGTATAGTATGACCTCAAATATTTGCTAAAATGACATATAGTTTAGTGTGACATAAAAAATTGGCTAAAACTTCCTGTCCTCTGACCTCTTTTTAATAACCTTTAGCATTACTTTAACATTAGCCAATCATTATCAGACAGTGCAGTTATAAATTTCAAAGAATCTGTTTCGCTTTATCTCTCCTCTGTGTCACTGAGCAGTACGACAGAGTGCAAAGTGCAAAAGTTTAGTTTATTCCCCTTCACAGGTTGATGATTGTGTTGATGGGGTATCTAGGTCTCTGTTTACTGTTTTAGACAATGCAGCCCCTTTGAAAAACTTAAAAAAAAGAAAGGTTGCTCCCTGGTTTTAAGCAAAATGCTAGGAAACTGGAGAGAAGATGGTGCTTTAGATGCTTAATTGGAATCCTAGCTAGTCTGGAAAAATAGTTTACTGCTGTATAAGAGGACCCTTCGTAAAGAAGAGCAGCATATTACATGATCCATGTGTTCCTACTTATGCCTGTGTTTTAAAACATTTAAGCTGTTATCACATACGAACATGAGCAAAATGTCTGGGAATTTAGAAATGTCTAATATTATACATGAGATGTTTGTTTTTTTGCATTTATTTATTAACTCCCCAAGGAATGCCAACAGGGTACACATTACATTACCTCCATTTGAAAGGCAGAGGCTGTTGAAGATCAGATGGCCGCTGCGATTTTGGTCACTCCTAATTTATAGAAGAAAAAAAAAAGAGGGGAAAAAAATGTAGAGGAAGAAATCAATGGTAAACCATTAATATTTGTTGAGACCTGAAAGAAATGGATGACCTGTACAGCAGCTCCAGAGCCACAGTATCTCCATAGTCGTGGGATATCAGATTGAGACGCTGATTGCTCAGACCCAAATGGTTCACCAGGCTTCAACTATACTGGCCTGTTCAAAGATGGAGTATCTGTGGGGTCTCTGAGAAATCATGGAAAAGGAGATTTGTAAACAGTGTGAGGGAAGGAATAAAAGAGCAGTAATGGATCAACAAGTGGTAGGAAAAAAAAACATTACAGCATCAGGAAATCAAGCTGCAGACTCACTGGTTTGTCACTGAAGCCAAATCCAAGAAAGTCCAGTGCAATGACTCGATGGAAGCGCTGTGTGAGTGGATCCCAGATCTGCAATGGAGGATAAATGGTTTCAGGATTTGGACAGTTCTTATGGTAAAATGACTAACATTTACAAGATGTAGCTTCTCCTTTTAGGCCAATTTGAAGATTTAAACACAAATTAATTTCTTATAAATTAAGGCTGCAACTAACAATTATATTGCTAATCGAGTAATCTGTGGATTATTATTATTTTTTTTATCCACTCATATTATTTATTCAGAGTATCGGTTTCTTCCTTCAGGTCGACGTATTAGAGTCCCTGCCTGTAGATTGAACCACTATAAGAACTCATTTGTTCTGCTTTCCATTAAGGCAATAAACAGTATCAAGCAGTAAATTGTGTAATAGGCAATGGTATTAAAAATGTAAACTACCTTAACAGATTCTTTAAAGATGGTTTTTATACAATTTCTTTTTTCTTTCAATTTTTATTGTGAATGGAATGTAACATGCTTCCTTATGTATTTATTTATTGTCTTATGATGGAATTTTTATAGCAGTGTTTTTATGTGTGAATGCAATGTGACATAGTTTGGACTATGTAGCAGCCAGAGTCTGTAAATCAAATTTCCTTTTTGGACAATAAAGTTAATCTTATCTTGATTTATCGATTAATAATCGGATAGCATTTTTTTTTTTTTTTTTACAGAATTAAACCAGGTCAAACTAAAACTTTCCCACTTGCTCTGAATAGAGCATATTGACAGTAGGTTGCTCTGTCAGCTAAAGTCATGTTTTAGAGTCTCTATACAATGGTTAATTGATTATTTATTTCCATAATCTATTAACCTGATTAATTGTTTCGGCCCTAATATAAATAAAAAAATAAATAATGCTACAGTGTCAACATGGAACCTGAAAAGGACAATGGACAGAAAGCTGAATAACAGATAAATAATGGTCAACAGGAATAATAGATGGTGAAATGTGATTAAGTGCCGGACACTATGGATCCTGCTGATCATGCAGGAAATAAAGAGATGATGTATCCAGGGTACCTTGTTCCAGTCATAGCTGGAGGTGGGGAAACCATGGAGGAGAAGGACCACATCTGAGCTTCCCAAAGCACCATAGGAGTCTATAAATATATATATATATATATATATATATATATATATATATATATATATATATATATATATATATATATATATATATATATTGTTAAGGAAGAAAATATTCTAAATAATTAACTTTGGAAAAAGGTTGGCTGTTTCTCTTCCTTTCCCAGGTGCGCTCAGCGAGCTGCGTGTGGTCACTATGAAAATCAGCAAGGCGTGTTGACATCACAGAATTACAGAGTTTAATCCAATATAAGACAATGCATAAACTTAGAAATAAGACAATGCACAAACCTACACCAGAAACTGCAGAACAACAGAGACATACATTCCATTACCTGACATAGGAGGAAAGAAAGCAAAGAGTACAGAGACATCTTTGGAGAGTTGCAAGGGCAAATCTGATCTGTAACTTCTATTTAGAAAGCTTTATCCTCTTGTATCTAATCCATTCAAAAAGGGCTGGCCCTCGGTCCTCCAACCAGACGCCATCTCTGACACTGCCTAGAGCTTCCCCTTATTTACTGCAAACATCTGGGGTCATTTGCTTCTTTGTTTTAACAAGAAAAGGCGGAAAGCTTGTCCTGGCATCTAGAATTCTTAGGGTCATAAAACACAAGATAAGCTTTCACAGACTCGGTGTGGAATGCGGGGGGCCTCACCATCCCTGGTTGTTTATTCTGGAAGACTTTTGACCTTCTGTAAACCAAGCAGAAATCTCTCCTGCAGGCTTAAATAATGTTCGCCCCCAGGAGATACTCATTTTATGGTCTGGTGCTCTAATACTTACCCCTCAATAGCCTAGTTTTAAATCATTAACACAACCTTGTTCAACATTAACAAATATGTTCAAGTGAGAGTGTTTACACATGCCATAAGATTAACTGTATTAAAGTCTAAAAAATAATCATTTTTCTTTAACAGTCCCCGTTTTGAGGTCTGAGACATACAGACCTCACAAATAAATTGATTAAGCCTTCTAATAGAGGAACCAAAAAACTATTTAGTATACTAAAAAACTAAAACATTAGCCCAATTATATAACAGTCCCCTTTTCAGACAGAACCTCCTAGCTCCACTGCCAGGTCATATGTCTGAAGCTGAACTCCATTATCTGACTTATCAAATGTATCTTGCGCTGTCCAACAATTTAATACTCACCTGATGAACCACAAAATTTTAACCAGTAAAAACTAAACTAAAAATACATTTCACTTATCAAACATGAAAAATCATAAAACTCAGTTATGTCAATAGAAGGAAACACACAATAGAAATATAAGCCCAAGTATAAAATTGGAAAACCAGAGTAAGATATCTCGAAATTACTAAAAAATGCTCAGGAAACTTAAAAGACAATACTCGCCACAAAAATTACAATTTGTCAATACAAAACAATAACAACATCAAAGAAGAAAATAAATCATAAACACATAAAAATTACAAAAGACCTTTTTTTTTTCTTTTTTTCACAATTCAACAATAAGAAGTTAGAGTTCGTCTCCATGCTCCTTCGATAGTCTTTAAAAAATAATTATGAATTCTTCGTCAGGAAACGATCCAAAAATACGCGCAAAAAGAAACGAATGTTCTTGAAGAGTTCGCAAAAAACGAAAACACGCAATAAAAAGAAGATAAGTTAATGATGATCTTGTAGCCTGATCCTTCACGTGTTCCTCCTCGGTTGTAAACCTCAGGTTTTCACCTGAGTGTCCGTTGCTCACTGAAAATTGGAGTCTTATGCCAATTTAACAGTGAGTTTAAGGAGAGGGTGCAATCTCCTTTTCTCAATGGAAGGACACCGGAACAGGATTATTGTGCCTATCCGGGCCTTTTAAGCCTTGTAATTCAGGAAAATGAAGTGGTTTCGGCAGACTTCTGCCCGGAAATGCAGATCCTCCTCCGCGCTGTGATGTGCCTCAGATACTCCTCAACCGCAGGTTGAGACTGTAGATTCTCCTGTATGCCCTGCAGCGTGCGTTGTGGCTCCTCAGCTGACTCCAATGGAACCACATGTCTCCTTTTCCCTTGTAGACGGACAGCCTGAGATGTACTCTCCACGACTCGGTATGAAAAAACAATATGAACCACCTTTCATCAAACTCGAAACCACGCCCACATTCCAAAGTGACAGCCGGAAGTCCCGCCTTAATTAAACCGGAAGTCCCGCCTTAATTAAACTCGAAACCACGCCCACATTCCAAAGTGACAGCCGGAAGTCCCGCCTTAATTAAACCGGAAGTCCCGCCTTAATTAATATAAAATTAATATAAAATTAATATAAAATTGATATAAAATTGATATAAAATTAATATAAAATTGATATAAAATTAATATAAAATTGATATAAAATTAATATAAAATTGAATTAAAAAAATAATTAAAAAATGAATAATTTAAAAATTATTAAAAAATTTATAAAAATGCATATAAAAAATTAACTATGTTATTTTAATAACGGTTATGATGATTAAATGATTATTTTTAATTACTTGTATTGATTTCTTATATAATCACTGTTAGCACACCGTTTCAATCTCTGCCTGAGCAGCTGTGTGATGAGTGCAGTCACTCACACAGCACCCCCCCCCCACCCCCCACGCTGCAGCCGCTGTAGCCCCCTCAGTCTGCCTTACTATGAGATCCGTTGCCTCATAGGATTCTGCAAGACTATATATCGATATACACGATAAATAATGATGTACATGTATATGTATCGGTCTATTAAAAGAAAAAATAAAATAAAATAAAATAAAAATAAAAAAAAACAAAAAAAAAACTAATGTCTAATTTTGTCCATTCATACGGTTTAAGCGTCCCACATGCGCAGTAGAGACTTCAATAACGTCACAAGCCGTCTTGCTCCTTGTTTACTTCCGTAAAAAATGGAGGGAAGGTTTAGATCGCATCTAGCTGTCTTTCCCAAACTTAAATACACAATCTTTTTTAAGATGGTTAGAAAAAAAAATAAATAAAATGCTCCCCCACCATGGTTGTTGTGTTTCTAGCCGATTCTGTGCTCGCTCAGACGCAGGTTGCAGTGGAAAAGATCTGGGTCACTTTAGGCTGCTGTGTGAATCCAAAGGTTTAGATCGCATCTAGCTGTCTTTCCCAAACTTAAATACACAATCGTTTTTAAGATGGTTAGAAAAAAAAATAAATAAAATGCTCTCCCACCTTATCATCCAACATGGATGTTGTGTTTCTAGCCGATTCTGTGCTCGCTCAGACGCAGGTTGCAGTGGAAAAGATCTGGATCACTTTAGGCTGCTGTGTGAACCCGTCCATGCTGGAGAAAGGTTGGGTGACTTAGGGAGGGCTGGCCAGAGCATTCTATACAAAGACGATACTGTCCGTCCTAAGGGTCTCCTCATGTGAAAGGTCACACCATGAGGAGCTCACACCACGCCACACTGTCCTTCCTAAGAGTCACCTGATGTGAATGGTTAATTAATCCATCAGGTGTTTGGACCTTGGGAGGGGGGTGAAAAATACACCACTTAGAAAAAAGAGGAGAGACTCTTTGTGAATCACTGTCCTTCCTAAGGGTCACATGATGTGATAGGTCTCACTATGAGGAGCTCACACCACGCCACACGGTTTAAGCGTCACCTGATGAAAAAAATTATTAAAAAATGTATAAAAATGCATATAAAAAATTAACTATGTTATTTTAATAACGGTTATGATGATTAAATGATTATTTTTAATTATTTGTATTGATTTCTTATATAATCACTGTTAGCACTCCGTTTCAGTCTCTGCCTGCCTGCAGCTCGAGCAGCTGTGATGAGTGTGAGTGACACTCACACTGCAGCGAGGGGGGTTGGGGGATGGTTGCGACCCCCTAGGTCTGCCTTTGTATGAGGCCCTCTGCCTCATTGACTAGGATCCATATATCTATATATCTTTATACACAATAAATAATGATGTACATGTATATGTATCGGTCTATTAAAAGAAAAAAAATAAATAAAACACTTTAGGCTGCTGTCCTTTCTCCAGTAAGAATAGGTGACTTACTGAGGCTGACCAGAGCATTCTATACAAAGTGGGGGGCTGACTGAAGCATTCTATACAAAGACGGTACTGCCCGTCCTAAGGGTCTCCTCATGTGAAAGGTCGCATCATGAGGAGCTCACACCACGCCACACTGTCCTTCCTAAGAGTCACCTGATGTGAATGGTTAATTAATCCATCAGGTGTTTGGACCTTGGGAGGGGGTGAAAAATACACCACTTAGAAAAAAGAGGAGAAACTCTTTGTGGATCTCCTGACCATGGTCTGAATCAGATTATATTCTTAATTTGAAACCAACCGATTGGGAAAACTATAGCTTGTTAAAACAAACTTGTCCTCTTTTTTTTATATAAGTTTTTGTATTAATCTCTTAATTTTTTCAAACATTTATTTCTCTACTGAATCATTAATCTTTTTTATCTATCCTTAGATTTTTGATTTTTTTTTTGTAATTCTAATAATAGATTTGATATTGTGGCAAACTGATAAATTGTTTAACCCTTTCCTGAACAGAAATCAGAGAAACGCTTTAGGTAATAGCACCTGAACCCTGATAACGTAGATTTAACAGATATATCAGCTATATGGTAATTTCACTTTTATTACTGAATGGTTTCAAATAGCCTAGATTAAGAAAAAGTAATTGCATACAGTATTCAGCCTATAATTTTTAGTCTGCCAAGACCAAGCAGTTTTTAACACATCTCAACCTCCAAATGTAGCTACTGTCTTCTTAGTAATTATGTGAAAAGAGCCTAAAAAAAAAATCAGAAAATTTCTATTCCTGTTTATTTTTATTTTATTTTATTTTTTAAGAAGCACCCTTGTCAGATGGCCAATTCTGTAAAACGGGAGGACATTTTAAGTGCAAATTTGATGGAGCCATCTAGCAATTAGAACTTTTGCTCTATCTAGCGTCATTGTTCTGAAGCAGGGGTTTGAGCTTCATGATACGTTTGTAAGTAAACCCTTTAAGTTTTTTGCAAATACTCCTTGTGCAA